AGCACCAAATCAGTATATTAGAATGATTTCTGAAGGATCATGTGACATTGAAAATTCAGCTTTGCCATCACAGGAATTCATTACATTTCAAATTGTATTAAAATAGAAAATGGTTATTTAAAAATAATAATGTTTCACAATATTACTATTTTTATTGTATTTTTGATCAAATAAATGCCGACTTGGGGAGGATAAGAGACTACCAACCCCACACTTTTGTAATATATGTTTTCTGATTTTTTTATTCATTTTTTTTGGGTGGTTTTTGGTTATTCCAGTCTATCACTAGTCATGACATGTAAGATGTGTGTTTGTGGTGTCCCGTCTGCATGTGTGTTGTAAGATATGAAATTCTGATCATTTGAAGGCCCTCCGTCTCCAGATTTGGACGGAAACTACGGAGGGGGACTTCTGGATATGGTTAAAGGAGGTGCTGGAAAGTTCTTCAGCAACATCAAGGACAACCTGAAAGACACCATCAAAGACACCTCTACCAAGGTTATGAACCAAGTGGCCACGTAAGTCCTCATTGTGTATTCATGGTTTTGTGTACATCAGATGTCACACATGGAGCCATATTGCCCCAATGTAGAAAACAGCTTGTTAAACATAGCAAATAATGTAGCTCAGTATAAAAACAATAGAAGTCTTGGAAATTCCCCACCATGATAGAAAAACGAATTTGTGTGTTTGTTTTGTGCATGTTTGCACTTGTGTTCGTGTGTAAGACTTCAGAGAAAACAGAGTCAAGGTCTTTCGATGGAGTTCCTGGTGACCTAGTTTTGTATAACGATTGTTACTATTAATATAACAGGACTCCTCAATGTAATGACTCTTTTTAGGTGTGTGTGTGTGTGTGTGTGTTAATATTGAAGATATGGGCAGTCAAACAGAGTTTGTGGTTTGTTACAACAAGGCATCTGCACTCTCAGGAAAGAAGATACAAAGCTGTCACTGGGTCAGTACCCTAAGATTCAAAAGCTAAAAGGTACATAATTGCACCTTATGTACCCTTAAATGGTATATTAGTACCTCAAAGGTAAATATTAGTACTTTAAAATTATGTATTAGTAGCTAAACTAAATACATTAGTACCTTTTAAATGGGTACCACCCCAGTGACAGTTTTTTTTTCTGAGAGTGTGACAAAAGTATTGCATTTTTTTTTTACATATTTTAAATGTATGTGAGGTTATGCTTCATGCATGTATAGTAGGCAATATGTACAATGACCAATATCAGTCAATAGTTTGGACATACCTACTCAATTTTCCCTTCTTTTTTCACATTTTTAGAATAACTTTTAAGTAAAAAAGAAGTATATACGTATTTTAAATAATTAAATAAAATAATTATAAAAAGCAAAGTATGGGGAAATTATATTTTAAATAAATGTTAATATTGTAAAATAATATTTATATTTTAAAAATAATTTATAATTGATATTTGTCTATTAAAAAACTCTGACAAAAAGCACTAAGGCATAATCCTTCAGCTAAACAATTTTATTTAACGGGTTAGTTCACCCAAACATGTATATTCTGTCATCATTTACTTACCTTAATATTGTTCCAAATCTGTATGGCTTTCTTTCCTCTGCAGAACACAAAAGAAGATATTTTGAAAAATGTTGGTAACCTAATAATGCTGGTCACCACTGACTTCCATTATATGGAAAGAAAATTAGACGTTTCTCTTATGTTCCGTATATTTTATGTTCCAAGAAAGAAACAAAGAAATTACTAAAGAATTACTAAAGACTAAAGAAACGAAGAAATGATTTTGAATATTTCTTAATAGATCACCATGTTAGAAGTTAAAAACCACCTGGGGAGTGAAAATGGCAACATCCACTCAAACCAAAGTAGTGGTAGTGAACTTATTAAAACTAAAAATTTAATTGTGATATATTGTGATAAAAATGAAATAAATATGATTTGCACTTTTAAAAAATTGTAAATTAAAACATGTTTGGGACATGCATACAGCATAATAACCCTGCTAAGTTAAAGTGTTTAAATTATTTACATGAAGCATGATGAAATAAACTCTCTTTCCAAATCTATGTGCCTTTCTCTTACACCCACTAATACATTGGTAATGCTATTTTCCACCACCATGTAAAGGGTGAATGACATCCATACACACAAACAGACCACTGCACAAACACACACACACACACACACTGTAAACTAGTAGTGTATTTCATTCACCTCTTGCACAGAGGCTTAGAATAGCTTGTTTACATATGATCTCATTAGAGGGATTTCACGCTTCAGCAGATTACACAGGTGATTTGGGTGTTGTGTAATGCTGTCCGGTATGTCTACAATTACTGTTAGACTCATGACTTATGCCCAAAGACATAAAAAAAAACACTTCCATCCTAAAGTTTGGGGGCAGGTTTTGAAAGAAGTATTTTATACTCACCAAATTTTTGTTATTTGTTATTTTTGTATAAAATTTAAATAACAGTTTCTATTTTAATATATTATAAAATGTACTTGTGCTTCTTAATATTTTTGTGGAAACCATGATACATTTTTTTCAGAATTCTTAGATGAGTAGAAAGTTCATAAGAAACACAGGCTTATGCTGAAAACAACAAAATGGAACCTCAAGGTTGATCTAGGAAAATGTGTGCAAATGTATAGGGCCCCATTCCTATATTTTGCCTGGGGCCCCCAATTCACTAAATCCGCCCCTGGGTCCAGGGTCACATTTCACGTCACTTTGCAAATCAAAATGCCAGTGGGTTCAGTAGTAAGAGCTTGTGCTTAAAAGTATTTCAGTCTTGCCTTTGTTGCCTGTAAGTCATAAGTTCTTATTAAAATTTATACAAAATGATGGTATATGTGGTCATGGGGAAAATTTCATACATAATTAAATTGCAACATGCAAAGACTGAAAATCACTTTCCCTTTGTTAAACATCCCATCTCGAAAAAAAAGTATTTGCCTTTAGGACTTTATCAGAGAAAGTTTCTCCATAATTGCTTGCTAAACTATAAACAACATTTAGGGCTTTTACCCTAAAAGTGTATAACTTTTTAATATGCAGAGAGCCTCATCTGCATATAATTTCCATATGCATATTTCCATCAAAATATGTGAAAATACACCACATTTAGTGGTAGAAGAAACCAGGAAAACAGGATACATGTAAACGTTTTTTTGTCCCAATAAAGGAGAGCACAGCAAAAAAAGTTTTTTTTAATCATGAGTTGTCAATGTCCAGGCAAAAAGTTAAAACATCCTTTAAACATTGAACAAATTTAAACATAAGAAGCAAAATTACATAAGATATTTTTCAGACGTTTCAGAGAATGTAGCTTTGATATGAATATTTTTAATGAATAATGAATATATATATATATAGAATAAATATCTTTTCCTCATCCCATTCCATCACAGATTGATTTTATTTGAACAAAAAAAATATTTTTATTAAAGCTCAGAACACGATTTACAGCAGAATTCCAAGCGGAAGTATAATGAGCCAAGATATCTTTGTTGTCATCAAAAACACGCTCCCTCTGTAAAATGTCATGGGAAATGTAAAAAAGGGGACAAATTTTATAGCTTAAATTGTAATCCATTTTAAATCAGTCATATAAAATGTTTATACATCAATTCCCAAACGTCTCATTAAAAAAAAAATGGAAGCCAAATGATGAGTCTGTTTTTCACCCACAGAATTGATTGATGTTATTTTTTAAAGTAAATCTTAATAATGGCCACTTTAATAATATGTTGTTAAGTGATACTAAGTATGGGTTAAAAAGGAACACATTTCTGGTTTTGTGTAAATGAAGGGGTACTTGAGCCTTATTGACGGAGCTCTGGTGTACAAAAAGGTTTGGGAAACACTGGTGTCGTATGGGATACTTGCTCTATGTTGTTAATTTCTTTCCAAAAATGATACTGGTGGCTGTGATGACTCCTCTTTCCTTCTTTCATTAAATATTGAACAGTGCTTTTCCCATGTAATTAAATAACTTCCCAGATTAACTGCACGACTCAACTATTTCCAGCAATTTCATGGCTTATTTCTATTGTACTTATAAAGGATATCTTAGTTCGTTTTGGGATCCCATGATTATATTCTTATTAGAGCCCGACCGATATCGTTTTGCCGATATTATCGGCCGATATGAGCCTGTCGCCGATATATCGGTATCGGCGAATATGCCGCCGATATGAAATTTTTTTTTACAGAACATATAACGTTTTTACTCCCTAATATCGGTATCGACCCCAAAAAAAAACATCGGTCGGGCTCTAATTCTTATTTCAATAACAAAAGTGGAGCAACATTGATTTACATTGAAGGTTTGGCTTAAATATAATATATTTGATACATGATGACTTTTTAAGTATTATTCTTACTCAAATGTTGTAATGTAGGTTTTTTTTTGACATACTGCTGTTTCATAATGTACATAAATATTCAATATTCTTTTAGATCTTGTTTTGATTATGTATTTTATCCATGATTATCCAACTTTTCATATATCTCTCTTACTCAGTTTTCACTATTTCCTATTTCTTCTCTCACACATCTTCCTCTCAGTGAGAATAATTCTCTTTCTCATTCGTCTGTAGGTTTCTGAATGCAATTGGCCTTCCAGGCAGGCCCCGAGTCTTCACAACCTATTTGCTGTGTGTAAGAATATGTACAACTGGCTCAAGCAAAACCCCAAGAATGTGTGTGTGATCACCTGTTCGGTAAGAAGATCTCTTGATGTTCGTGTCTGTTCTTTGTTGTGGTTACTCAGCATTAAACAAACATGACTGTAAAACCAGATTCATTGTCTACATTCCAGGATGGCAGAGCTCCTTCAGGCGTGCTGGTCTGTGCCATGTTCTGTTTCTGCCAACTTTTCGCCAACCCGGTGCCAGCCATGCAGCTTCTCAGCGCCAAGAGGCCTGGATCTGGCCTGTGGCCCTCCCATAGGAGGTACAACCAATCAGATCGCAGCTCTAAAACGTCTAGCTTTGATTAAAAACTACTGAATGGTATAAATACTCAACAATAATAGTACAGTAAATTATGAACTAATAAAACTGCTCACTTTGTGCAAGTTTTGCATATGGTACATTTGTCTTTGAAATGTCCATTCTCGGTTGTAAACAGAAGGAATGAAACGTTATTCATTGAAACGTCCCACACAAGGTATTTTTCCCCTTTGGAGCGGAACCACTGACAATCTTGTTTATGTGTGTTTATTTATTTAGGTACATAGGTTATGTATGCAGTTTAGTCTCAGAGAAGCCAACCATACCACACTCCAAACCCCTAGTCATTAAATCTGTCACTATGAGTCCTGTTCCTTGCTTCAACAAACAGCGCAGTGGCTGTCGGCCATTTTGTGACGTACTTATTGGCGAGACCAAGATATTTTCTACAGCTCAGGAGTACGAGAGAATGAGGTAAGCATGTCTATATACAGACGCTATACTAATGGTTCATTTAAATCATATTATCTGCGTAACTGAAATCATATGTAATGAAAGGTCATTTGTGACCCTGGACCACAAAACCAGTTTTAAGTCGCTGGGGTATATTTGTAGCAATAGCCAAAAATTCATTGTATGGGTCAAAATTATTGATTTTTCTTTTATGCCAAAAATCATTAGGATATTAAGTAAAGATCATGTTCCATGAAGATATTTTGTAAATGTCCTACTGTAATTTTTTGTAACTGTATTTTTGATTAGTAATATGCATTGCTAAGGACTTCATTTGGACAACTTTAAAGGCGATTTTCTCAATATTTTGATTTTTTTTGCACCCTCAGATTCCAGATTTTCAGTTAGTTGTGTTCTATCAGTTCCAGATAGTTGTATCTCGGCCAAATATTGTCCTATTCTAACAAACCATACATCAATGAAAAGCTTGTTTATTCAGCTTTCAGATGATGTATAAATCTCAATTTCGAAAAATTGACCCTTATGACTGGTTTTGTGGTCACGTATAGTATCCTATCAAATATGGCTCTTTGTCAGTTTTCACAAACTTGTTAATTTCAGATGTGGTTTAGCAAAATTCAGAATTTCTTAATTCAAAAACACAGTAATGAGTGTGAATTTAATCTGATTTGGCCGTACCTCACAAGAAGTTGTAATGGAGTGGAATTGGTTGAATTAAAGTGACAGAATTCACTAAACTGAAATTCAAAGATATTCAACATAGTCGCACAACAAACTAAATATAATAACATTAAATAAACTTTCCATCATCATATCATCTGGATCCATTTTGAAAATGTGTTCTTCCACCATATGGCCTGTAAAATGAAAGTTAATTTAATAAATATAAGGTATTTCAAAGATTAATTATTAATGCCATCTAATGTTTCTTGAAAAATTCCATATGTTGTTTGTATGATAAACACGTTTATGAATAATTCATACTGAAAAATTAAATATATTATTAAAAAATACACTAACGCAAAATATTATACTACCATGACAATGTTTTATTATGTTATAAGACATTTCTGAATTGCCTACAAGATATTTTATGTAGCACTTGAAAATGATAATGCTATTTGTGTAATGGTGAAGTATATCTTCATGTTTGTTGCTCTCAGGGAACACAGGGTTCAAGAGGGCAAAGTGCTGTTTCCTGTGAGTGTGAGTGCCCAAGGAGATGTGGTGATTTCAGTCTATCACATGCGTTCCCATGCACTGCAGGCCAAGGTATGAGACTAATGATTAAATGAATTTAAATCTGTAGCAGAGAAGAAAACTATATAGATGAGTCAGAACTTGTAGGCTTTTTGTTCTTGCTAGTTGTTAGTGACTAAAAGGTTGGCAGTGTTTAAATTCTGTTATGTTTGCAGGTAACTAACACCCAGATATTCCAGATTCAATTCCATACTGGTTTCATCGCCCCTGGCACCACAGTCTTAAAGTTTATCAAGTAAGTGTTTCTTTTCATTTCTTTCGTAATCATCACATTGTAATCTGAAGCTGTTAATCTAGCTTTCAAATTGATGCAAAGTCCTGTTCCACGTAATGATAGACAAAATGTCCAGTCACTCTTTGTTTTCAAATTAAATAAAAAAAAAAAAATTATGGACATGTTATTGAATTATTTGCAGCTCTGGACTGAAGTCTGTGTTTGTGTGTGTTTGTCCAGGACAGAGCTGGATGCCTGTGATTCTCCAGAGAAATACCCACAGCTGTTTCATGTGCTGTTAGACATTGAGGTTGAAAGTACGGAGAAACAGAAAGATCTCACGCCACCGTGGGAGCAGTTCCCCAACAAAGATCTGAGCCCCAGCGTGCTTTTCTCCTGTCATCAGGAACACCAAGATTCACTTGCTACTGCAGGTAATCCTGTATATTACTATGCTGTATAATGCTATCCAACACAAAAAAGCCAAACATATGGTTTTGGTTCTTTCTTTAAAACAAAAAAACCTTTTGATGAGAGCTTTAGAAGTATGACTGAGATATTTTATTCACAATACATTTTTCAGGATGATTTTGCTAACAATATAAAGCAACATTGTGAATATAATAATGATTTTAATATAATTTTTGTGCACATTAAGTTCCCTAGTGGCCATGTTATGAAACTTTTGTTCTGTTGTTTCTACAATTGAATTAATTCAATTGTAACAAAAGTCACCCTTTTAACCTATTTCAGTATATACGTAAGCATTGAGGTCCATTTTGAATCTCATAAATAGACTGATGTTTCTTAAGCTCACCAAGGCTGCAATTATTTGATCATAAGTACAGTAAAATAGTAATAATGTGAACTGTTATTACAATTTAAAATAACTTTTTTCCTTTTTAATATATTTTAAAATGTAATTTATTCCTGGAATGGCAAAGCTGAATTTTCAGCAGCCATGACTCCAGTTTTCAGTGATTTTCACGTGATTATTCAGATGTCATACTTACATGCTCAAGTGCTCAAGAAACATTTCCTAATATTAGCAACATTGAAAACAGATATGCAGTGTAATATATATTTTTTTGTAAACTATGACAAATTCTTTGCAAGATTCTTTGATGAATAGAAAGTTCAAAAGAACAGCAGTTCAGCATTTGTTCTTTAAAAAACAAAATCGGCAGAGGGTGATAAAAATGACCTTGTGTAGTTTAGTCACCATGAAGAGCTCAGTGAACCTTTAAACAAGTCAACTCATCAGTCACTCGCTGGCATTCTGTTAAGTGTCTGTGCCCCATTAAACTAAACACCATCTGTTTAATGTACTTTATTCTCTGCTGAAAAGATGAAATGGAGGGCTTGGACTTGGAAGGTAAGATGTAGTGTAGGAGGCTTGTGAGAGTCAACAGAAAATAATTGATTAATAGATTTGTAGTTGACGTTAGACAATTATTTGATGAGTAGTTAAAAAATAGATTTTAGCGAGAAGGAATTTGGGAGGTACAGTATTATGTTTCTCTCTTAGAGCTGTTGATTGGCTTCAGAAACGTGGAAAATAACACACAAACCGTATGGACTGATTTGATGTTCTTCTTTAGATCTAACCATTTCTCCGGTCTGTCCCTTAGATCCTGCCCAGGGACATGGGAGTTGCGGAGGCAGAGTGGGCCCAAATGAGGAGAGTGAACCATCAGATGATGAAATGCTCTCCCTTTCTAGTCAGCAGAGCAACACGAGCAATGAGAAATCAAAAGCAGCTAAGAAACCAGAGCCCCAGCCTGCAGCGGCCCCTCCTCCAGCAGCTGAGGAAGTAGATCTGCTGGGTCTGGATGGTGATGCCTCTACGCTTCCTCCATCCTCCCCACAACCTCCGACCACCAGCACCACCACAGACCTGCTGGGGGACCTGTTTGGAGCTCCTCCCACACCACAGCCGGCCAGTGGCCCCGCCTCTGCTCAGTCCACCCCGCGGAGATCCGCAGCCTCCTCCTCACCCTGTCCATCACCTCGATCTGGAGACAGTAAATATGTTTTATGTTTTGTTTAAACAAAGACAGACAGTTGAAGGGATTTGAAGCAGCGGTGAAGAGTCAGTGAAGTGAAGCAGCATCTTGGTATAGTGAGCAATTTGAGTGACTGAATTATTCATTTGAATGGGATTCATTCAACATCAAGACACAAAGTGGAGTGTCTAATTTACTGAACAGTAATAAAAAAAAAAAAACTGCTGTATCGTGGTATATTGCTTTATATAAAATTGCTGTTACAGCAATATAATAAAAACTAGTGCTGTCAAACGATTAATCGCATCCAAAATAAAAGTTTTTGTTTACATAATATGTGTATACTGTGTATATTTATTATTTATGAATACAAACACATGCATGTATATATTCATGAAAAATATCATATGTTATGTTTATATGTTAAATATATTAATATATAAGAATATAAATATATGCATGTAAATACATGTAAATATTTTCTGTGTGTGTATTTATATATACATAATAAATATACACAGTACACATACATATATTATGTAAACAAAAACTTTTATTTTGGATGCGATTAATCGTTTGACAGCACTAATAAAAACATTCAAATTCAACTAAAAGTTACATTATTATTATGATACTTTATTCATATTATTATTTTACCACACACATTAGTATTTGTTTACTAGTATTAATATTATTACGTTGTTATTAATAATAATAAATGACAATTAATTAATCATAAGCAGTTTTTCCATCAATTATATTTACACTGCCATTCACAAATTTGGATTCAGTACAATTTGTTTAGAGAAATTTAAGAAAAAGTTTGCATTAAATTGATCAAAAGCGATCAATTTAATGTTAGTAATGTTAGTAAAGTAATATTATAAAAAAATATTTAAAAAGAAAATGCTGAACATCAAAAAGTGCATTAGAAGACTTAAGACTGGAATAATGGCTGCTGAAAAATTCAGCTTTGCCTGCACAGGAAAAAAAAAACATTTTGAAATAAATTAAAACAGAAAACAGTTGTTTTAAATTGTAATAATATTTCACAATAATACAGTTTTTACTTCATTTTTGACCAAATAAATGCAGCCTTAACATGAGAGACTATTAAATCTAACCAACTGCAAACTTTTGAATGGTAGTGTGTGTGTGTTTGTGTGTGTGTGTGTGTATGTCTATTGTTAAAGGGGTCATATGATGCTTTTTTAAAGATCATTATTTTGTGTATTTGGTGTAACAGAATATGTTGACATGCTTTAATGTTCAAAAAACACATTATTTTTCAAATACTGTACATTATTGTAGGTCCTCTATGCCCCGCCTTTTGTGCAGCATATTGTGCATGACCATATTCTACATCCCTAATCCTAACCAATACCTACACAATACCTAAACTTAAACTTAATAAGCAGCAAATTAGAAGTTTATTGAAGCAAAAGTCATAGATAATGGTCTGTTAATAGCAAGAATTGGACCTTAAAATATGGTCAAGCATATATACGTGTACATATTATGTTTTTTTAATATGAATGCTTTGAAACAATACTTCTGTAACAAAGAGCGCTTTTTATTGTTCAAGCATGCGACAGAGCTGGAAAGAAGCACTGCATGATGCCAAATACTGCAGATTGCTACATTCTGTTACTCAGAGTCAGAGCCTTGAGAGAATGAAAGAAATATGAGAGAAATCCTATCCCTTTTCCTCATTGTCTAACAAAAATGTAGCACATTGTCATAATATCTTATTTTAATCTTGTTTAATCAAAAGAGCTTTATTAACCAGTAAGCCCTATGCTAAGCTAGTAGGCTAAGCTGTTAGCTTGAAAACACAACAAAAGGAAAATGTGTACTTTTTTTTGCTATAGCATTATAATTGTTTTAGAATTTTCAATAATTTATAATCAGGCACCAATTAGAGTGCACATAAATATCATAGCCAATGTAATGTCTTTTTATTAGATTATATTAGATGTTTTACAAGTGACAGATTTTCACTGCATTTCACATCATGTTACAGTCACTGATGAAAGTTATTGTCGTGCCATTAACCAATCAGGGCTGTCATGATGTCATTATTTCACATAAATGCAGCCTTAGTGAGCATGAGTCTTCAAAAACCTTTCCAACCAAAACTTTTAAACGATAATGTATATTATTATTATTATTTTTAATTTGCAGTAATTTCTTAGTCTAAGAAATGTAAGAAACTAAGTCTAATGTTGTCATTGTCCTGTGGTTATTATATGGCATGATACCATTCACATTTGTATTAACTGTCAATTTTTCAGTACAGTATTTGAATATGTAAATAAAGGTAAAAATTGGAGAGTGTCAAGATAAGTATGTTCCCTTCATAGGTCGCAGTTCACCTGTGCCGCCCACTACTCCCACTGTCAACATCCAGCAGCAGAGCTCTACAGGAGCCTGGGAATGGAACAAACCAGCACCTGCAGGCAAGTGCTGTTAGAAACACAAGATGTGTCACAGGGACTCCTGGTGGCCTCCTCTGATATTACACCTAAGAACAAAATGACTCACTACTGACCTTCAATCTGGACTGGTGTGATGAGCTCATATAGCTCATAAATGTTAATGTCTTGTGAAACATTACATGGCTGACTATTTGGATTTTAAATCAATAGAGCTGGATACTTCTTATAGTTATTCTTATCTCACACACACACACACACACACCAAACAATATTTTCTATCCCCTAACCCTAAATCTACCCCTTATAGAAAACCTGTTTGCATTATTACACTTTCAGATAAATTTGGTCATTTTGAGTCATTCATTTAGTATTTTAATATTTTTTCCCGTGTCAAAAAATTCAGGTTTTACTATCCTTGTGGGGACATTTGGTCCCCACAATGTAGGATAAACAAGAACACACACACACACACACAACCTTATATTTATAATAAAATAAAATAAATGAAATGAAATAAAATATATTTATATTTATAAATTATAAATAAATCTAATTCAATTAAAAAAAAATACAAAAAAATATTTTTTAATGTTTATTATCAAATTATTACAAAATACAACAAATATTTATTATTATACATTTCCATATATAAAAATGTTATGTAAAGTCAAATGTTTCATTTTGTTTAACAAAATTTGCAATAATAACTGGAAATCATACATCAGTATTATTATTTATTAAATATAAATAAATCTAATTCAATTAAAAAAAAAATACAAAAAAATATTTTTTAATGTTTATTATCAAATTATTACAAAATACAACAAATATTTATTATTATACGTTTCCATATATAAAAATGTTATGTAAAGTCAAATGTTTCATTTTGTTTAACAAAATTTGCAATAATAACTGGAAATCATACATCAGTATTATTATTATTATTATTATTTATACAGGAAACTTTAAAACATCCATAAATTCATAAAAAACTTTTTCTAGAAAAGGACATTACTGATTTGTTTGTCATTTTTTACCTATTCTTGCTGATGCTATCAAGACATTATCACAAATCATTCTTGCAATTTTGACAAAACCAAAAACCTTATGTTAGCCAGTTCACGTTAACTGGCTGACAAGTTTTAAATGTTGACAGAAGCAGAATTCACAACCAAATGTTTGGAAAACCAGATCATTTAAATTATCTTGATTTAAATCTAAATTTCTCTCTTCAAGGTACTAAATTATAAATCTTGATTTGTCTTACCAGGTGCAGGTTTTGGGATGGGAAGTAAGTCTGCCAGCACTAGCCCAACCAGCTCAGTTCATGGTACTCCCACCCACCAGGCCAAACCCAACACTTTGGACCCGTTTGCTGATCTGGGTAACCTAGGAGCCGGTCTGGGAGGAGGTAAATGGAAAAGAAACTTATTGAGCCTTATTTTAAAGGGATAGTTTAGCCAAATATGAAAATTTTACTCCCAAATGTTAAAATTTTATTGACTTCCATAGTTTTTTCCACATTCATTTTTGGGTGGACTCTCCCTTTAATACATTCATCATGGAATCACCGTTAACCTCTGTGTGTTCATTGCAAGCTGGTTCGGGATTCTCCAGCAAGCCCACCACACCTACTGGTACCGGAGGAGCGTTTCCACCCATGGGCTCCCCCCAGCGTCCTGCTCCCTCTCCCCAGCACACTGCCTCTGGAGGCTGGCATCCCAGCACAGGTTTCCCCTCATGGCAGCCTGGAGGTGGGGCTCAGTGGCAGCCGCAGGCCCAGGGTGCACAGCTCCAGACCCCACCTAAAGCACCTGGACCCTCTATGCCTCACACTTCACCACAGAACAGACCCAACTACAATGTCAGATTCTCCAGCATGGGTGGAGCTTCGCCAGGAGCCACTGGGGCAAAAGCACAGCCTAACATGGGTGAATAACTGGACACTGTCTAGTGACTCGACATAGAATCTGGTCCAGTCTTACGAGGTTGTGCTTATGCGCATGTGTTCTGTTCATTGTAAAATTCTAATATTTTTAGGGATGTTCTGTCATTATAAGCCTCTCTCTCTATATATATATATATAATATTGATCTTTCATATTATATATGCATGTTGTGATGCCTAAATTGACTTGTAGCTTTTCAAACAATTGATTTTAATTAGTGTTGTATATATATATATATACACACAACATATTAGTGTTGTATATATATATATATACACACAACATATTAGTGTTGTATATATATATATATACACACAACATATTAGTGTTGTATATATATATATATACACAACATTAATTAAAATCAATTGTTTTAAAAGCTACAAGTCAATTTAGGCATCACAACATGCATATATAATATGAATGATCAATATTATTTTTTAGACTTGCCAAAGATTACATTTAATAGTGATATTGAAACCGTCTGCTAAATGAATATATGTAAATGTAAATTAATTGAAAATTAATTAAATAAAAATTTAATTAATTAGACTGACTTATGATTACATTTTAATAGTGATATTAGATTAAAAAATCTAAATTAAATTCATTTAAAATAAAATGTAATTAAAATGAAATGAATTACATTATATAGAGGAAATAAGCACATGCAATTATGTATCTATCATGAAGTAATACTGAAGATCTCCAATATTGGTTAGTGATACCAATATTGTGTATCCCTTAATATTTTCTTTAGATTTTCATTACTACAACAACAAAGAATATTATAAATAGCAACTCAAACATTATTAATTATTTCTTTTTTCTTTCAGGGACCAGACCAAAGGTTTCAGACACTAACTTTGATGACCTACTCTCAGGCCAGGGTTTTGCTGGCACTAAGGAGAAGAAGGGGCCAAAAACCATAGCAGAAATGAGAAAAGAGGAGATGGCAAAAGAAATGGACCCAGAGAAACTCAAGGTGAAAAATAAAACACACACAAGCTGATATTTATATTACATGGCTGATTGGAATATTTGATTCTGATGGTCAGTCGCTTGTTTTATATGTTTGCTGTTTATTTTGTGATAATGACTAGCTGACTGTGCACTGTCCCTTACATGATCCTCTTTTTAAAGACTTTGTTCAAGTGTGAATCACATCATGATGTTTTAATATAATGTCGTTATTTGTGGCAGATCCTGGACTGGATTGAGGGGAAGGAGAGGAACATCAGAGCGTTGCTGTCCACCATGCACACAGTGCTGTGGGAGGGAGAGACACGCTGGAAACCTGTAGGCATGGCTGACCTTGTCACACCAGAGCAGGTGAAGAAGGTCTACCGCAAAGCTGTGCTGGTAGTGCACCCTGACAAGGTGAGAGACGTATTTGTTCAGTTTACATTGAAGTACTTAAAGAGCCCTATTATGCCATTTTGAATATTGCCATGCAATATGCAGTGTGTAATGTAGCTGTATATGAATGTAAACAATCTGCAAAGTTGTAAAGCCGCAAAGTGCACAATAAATAGTTATTGTCTCAGAAAAGAAAGAATCGACTCTGCACAGCTGAAACAAGTCATCAGTAATTCAAATCCCACTTCCCTTGCAAATGTGTCACGGGGTAACATATTTGCATAATGCCCGCCTATGTTATAAGTTGGCTGGCCGCAAACAACTTGACCCGCCCTCAAACACTGTAGCTTGTTTGTGTGGTAAACATCATGTCGGGGAGTTCAACACAGGATTCACAAAACGCCCTATAAGTATAAGTAATAGATGTTTGTATTTTTTATTGAGCGTTCAAAATACATAACTATGGCAATGGGCGTATCGTTTCTGACATGCGCTGTACGCGGTAGACCAATCAGAGCAGAGCAGGCTCACGGAGGGGTTTAGAGAGACAGAATCTTAGAACTGCTTCGAACAAATCATTTGAGAATCATTGAAAGTGAGATGATATTAAATGCATATTTTGAGAAAATTAAAGAGCTTTTTGCCCTTGGATGCATGACTCCCAAAACAATATTAAGAACCTTAAAAATGGTATAATAGGGGCACTTTAAAGTGAAACAATAAAGTCTTAAAAGCACAGTTGCAAAATACACTACTGTTCAAAAGTCTGGGATCTGTACGATTTTTTTTAATGTTTTTGAAAAAGTCTCCTATGTTCACCAATGCTGCATTTATTTGAACAAAAATAGGGTAAAACAGTAATATTTGTGAAATATTATTACAATTTAAAATAACTGTTTTATATTTGAATATATTTTGAAATGTAGTTTATTAATTTGATGGCAAATTTGAATTTTCCACAGCCGTTCCTCCTGATTTTGTGCTCAAGAACCATTTCTTATAATTATTAATGTTGAAAACAGTTGTGTTTCTTAATATTTTTAGGATACTATGAAGAATTACAGTATAAATACACTACTGTTCAAAAGTCTGGGATCTGTACGATTTTTTAAATGTTTTTGAAAAAGTCTCCTATGTTCACCAATGCTGCATTTATTTGAACAAAAATAGGGTAAAACAGTAGTATTTGTGAAATATTATTACAATTTAAAATAACTGTTTTATATTTGAATATATTTTGAAATGTAGTTTATTAATTTGATGGCAAATTTGAATTTTCCACAGCCGTTCCTCCTGATTTTGTGCTCAAGAACCATTTCTTATAATTATTAATGTTGAAAACAGTTGTGTTTCTTAATATTTTTAGGATACTATGAAGAATTACAGTATATTATAAGTTATAATCAACAGCATTTATCTATAAAATTCTTTATTTGCACAATTATAAATGTATTTACTGTCACTTTTGATCAATTTAATGCATCCTTGCTGAATAAAGTATTAATTCATTTCTTAAAAATCTTATTGACCCTGAAAATATGATAGGACCCCTCTAGTTACGGCATTTTAAAGACAAAATGCATCAGTTTTCTCTCTCTTCCCATTTGCAGGCTACTGGACAGCCCTACGAACAATATGCCAAGATGATTTTTATGGAACTAAATGATGCGTGGTCAGAATTTGAAAGCCAAGGACAGAAAGCACTGTACTAAGACTTACTGTAAATGATCACAACCAGTCAGCAGTTCCTGCCCCGATTAGACACCCTGCAACCCACCAGTCTTTGAAACGCTCCTTTGTTAATCTCTCCCACCTCCAGGACCCTGCTTCATAGAGATGTCAGAGCTTACATCTACAGTATAGTTGTGTGTATCTCTTTATCGATCCATGTATCAGGTCCCATCATGCCCTAGGCCAACTTAACTTCTGTATGAGAAGACTGCTGTTGGAAAAAGTAGCATTCAGCTTTGTTTTAAAAACTCTTATTTGTGTCTTTCCCAGGACTCACTTACATAACAAAGATCAGACTTTGTCGTTAAACAGCTGTGAAATATTTCTGTGAACATTATCAGTCAACCAGACCATCATAGAATGTCTGGTAGAATTTATTCAGAAGCTTTCGGGTGAGTTTTGATTTATTAAAGAGGTTTAGTGCTAAGGAAGAACATCTTTAAGAAATGAAAAAATATGTTTAGACACTTCAGAATTTTGCTTTGGCTTGCAAAGCTTTATTAAGTAACACCTTCGTCGGATATTATTTAATAGGGTTTTGCATGCTACAGCAGTATTTGGGAATCGAGACCTTATCTACTTAAACGTAGGATATATTGCCTGTATCCTACGCACCTGCTCACAATCACTCATATGTGCGAGGGGTATTTATTTATTTGTTGGCTTTGCAAGACAACATTAAAATTAGTGAAAATAAAAGTGGTATAGTAAGCAACGACTCTGTTTTTAGTTCAGTCAGGGGCTAGAGGTTTAGAAAGATTGGCTCAAATGAAAGAACACTCCAACAAAAACCTGCAGCCACTAAAAATGTCTCATATCATGTAACACATAACTTCTTTCAGAAGATAAACAACACAGTACTGTGGGGCAGAAGCACAATAAGTATAATAAGAGACTGTACAGGATATGGGAGGTTTTCTCAAACTTGATCTGTGAAATGCAGTAGATTTAACTAGCAGTTTATTCTTATGTTGTTTTTTTACTGAATATTGATCTGTATGTATATGTTGCACTATAATAACATACTGTTTACAACATAAAAAGTCAAAGGAAATTGTTTATTCATGTAATTATTCCATAGAAAAAAAGAAACGTTTTGCAGGTAACTCTGACATGGCTTGTTTTGGGGTAAAAGTTAAGGTTGTCTTTACATACACAATTTATGTTAACCTGACGTCTTTAACTGGTTAATAGTGCCCTAAAGAACTAGTCACGCTTTCGAGTACTGCGTCTTGCTAGACGCATATGGGAAAAAGCCTTTTTTCTCCTGAACTGAAGCCCTTTTTCATTCACGCAGTGAAACTGCACGGCCATTGGTTCGTGCAGTGTATTAAAAATGAACCAATGGCTAGACAGCGGAGCTGCACGAGCCTATGGCGACGAAGCCCGCCAAAGCC